GACTTCATGGTGGGTCTACCACGGACGGTTAAGAACTACGACGCAGTATGGGTGGTAGCGGATAGGCTGACCAAGAGTGCTCATTTTCTACCTATCAACACTACCTATACGCTCGAGCGACTGGCCAAGTTGTACACAGATCAGATTGTGAGACTGCATGGGGTTCCGGTTACCATAGTATCAGATAGAGACCCACGGTTCACATCACGGTTTTGGCCTAAGTTTCAGGAATCCATGGGTACGAAGTTGAGGTTTAACACCGCATTTCATCCTCAAACGGATGGGCAGTCCGAACGTGTAATTCAGATTTTGGAAGACATGTTGAGAGCATGTGCTTTGGAGTTCCAGGGAAGCTGGGACAATCAGTTGGCTTTGGTGGAATTCGCCTATAACAACAGTTATCAGGCGAGTATAGGCATGCCTCCATACGAAGCATTGTATGGGAGGAAATGTCGGACACCATTGTGTTGGGACGAGGTCGGCGAGGCTAAGCTCGAGGGCACCGAGCTAGTCGAGATCACTAAAGAGAAGATAAAAGTCATACAGGATAGGCTCAAGGCTGCCCAAGACCGGCAGAACAGCTATGCCGATAAACGTCGGAGGGCGTTGGAGTTTGAGGTCGGTGACGAGGTATTTCTGAGGGTATCACCTTGGAAAGGGATCATCAGGTTCCTCAGTCGGGGTAAGCTTAACCCACGTTATATAGGCCCGTTCAAAATCCTTGAAAGGATTGGGGTCGTAGCATACCGACTTCGGCTGACTCCAGAGTTGGAAAAGATTCATAACGTGTTTCATGTCTCTATGCTCAAGAAGTATGTGCGGGACCCGTCACACATTCTTGAGAAACCACCGGTAGAAATCCGAGAAGACCTACACTATACGGTGCAACCGGTAAAGATCATGGACCGACAGGTGAAGAAGCTAAGGAGCAAAGAGGTGCCGATGGTAAAAGTACTTTGGAAGAGTGATCGCGTCGAGGAGCAAACTTGGGAAGTGGAGACCCTGATGAGGGAACAATATTCATTTCTGTTTGACTAGACATGTGGATTTCAGGGACGAAATCCCAAATAAGGGGGGTAGAACTTGTAGCACCGCCCTCAAGTATTTGTACTTTATCAAATTATGTATTGAACCTTGAGAAATGAATAAACGCATTTTACGTGATTGTAAATTTTTATCATTTCTTTTGCGTGAATAGTAAAATTCACGTGGGGCCCACATCGGAAGTGGGGACCGCCCGATATTATCGGGACCACATATGATATTAATCTTGGCCTAGATAATATGTATATGGTGGTGGGTATTCTAATTGGGCCATGAAAATGGCATAGAGTGGACCGGTTGGTCAAACTAGGCCCAATTATCAGTATCGGCAATTTATCAGATAACAGCCCGAAAAGGGAATTCGGAGACTTCTAAATTAAATTTGAGGAATGTATATTCATTATAAAGTCCAATAATGATGGAGAGCATGTGCGATATTTTATTTGACCCGATAAAATAAAATATAATTAAAACAGTCCGGAAAATACAACTTTCGGAACTGATTGTACACTCGGGGACACAAAGGGTTGACCTCCCATATAAGTGGGGGCCAGCCCACGTTTTTAGTCTTGCAAATGGGAAGGGGAGCCGCATCATTGAGCTGGTGTAGGGGGGTTGAGTTGATGGTGAGACAAAATGAGAAGGGAAAAGGGTCCCTCCCCCACATGATTGGTAAATAAGCCAAGGGAGATATTTCCACCACCCCACACCTCATACAGCTCGGCCATACCACTTTCCAAGGGGAGAGAATCTCTGGAAACCCCATTTTTATCATCCATACACGCACTTGAGCTAAGGAGGAAGAAGGAGGGGAAAAGAGAAAAGAAAAGTTGGCTTTGGAGAGGAAAACTTGTGTTTAACAAGGTAATGACTCCATTAATCCTATTTCTTGTTCTTCAATCCTCTTATATGATTATTCAATCATATTTCACACCCTAGGATTGTTCTACACGTTTGGAAGTGTAGAATGAGGGGTTGGAAGAAAGTTCTAAGTCCAAGAACGGACTTAGAAGCCAAAGTGACCGGTTCGCCGGAAAATAACCTTTTTGAGGTTATTTGTATTACTATGGGTTTTATGATGATCAAACCTTGTTAGTAACGTGTCTAAGGTATTCAAGGAACTTTCACGAAGTTGAAAGGGGCGCCGGGGTTGTCACCGGAGTTCGTTGAAGTTCGTCGGAGTTTCGTCGGAGCTAAATCGGGAAGGCTAGAACTTCATAAGCTTCATTAAGGTGAGAAGACGGCTTTATGCTTTATAACTTTTGCGTGAGGCATGCGATTACCTAAAGTAATCAAAAATATGTTTTATGGAATGATTAAGGATAATCAAGTATTTGCTTATGCCATGATTATATATAAAACATAGTTGAAAAGCATGTTATTTACGTTTGATGATTAAAAATGTGATAAATTATCATGTGCGATGTTCCAGGGATCCAAGATAGTATTTTTGGATTGAGGACGTCAATAAGTACATGTGTGTAAAATTTCACGTTAATTGGACTCCGTTTGGGTGGTCAAACGGGCGTTGACCGCCAAGTCAACTGCCATACCCGACCGGGTATTGACAAGTACCCGACCGGGTATTGACAAGTACCCGACCGGGTATTTGCTGAAGATTTGCCCCAGGGGGCTACTGCCTCCTATACCCGATCGAGTATGGGTAGATACTCGATCGAGTATACATTGAAAATTAGTCTTGTGGGCTACTGTCTCCTGTACTCGACCGAATATAGGTGAGTACTCGATCGAGTATTGGTTTATGCTCAAAACGGGCAGCTTTGAGTAGGTTAACGTGGGCCGTTCAGGGGGGACCCGCCCACGTTGGTTCCTAAGGATTGTTATATGACTATAGGGCTAGACATTGTCCATAGTTAAGGGAATGAAAGGTTAGCCATATCCAGGTTAGGATTTGGTATAGGATAGACTAGGGATCGAGTACCCTTGGACGATAAATGATCCAGAATACTCCAGGTGGGATCGAGTACCCTTGGACAGTAAATGATCCAGAATACTCCAGGTGGGGTCGAGTACCCTTGGACGGTAAATTATCCAGAATACTCCAGGTGGGCTCGAGTACCCTTGGACGGTAAATGATCCAGAATACTCCAGGTGGGGTCGAGTGTCCTTCGACGGTAAATGATCCTAAATACTCCAGGTTGGGTTGAGTGCCTTGGACGGTAAATGATCCTAAAACACTCGGCAGTATGAATCGAAGGTAGACTATAGCTTGTGAGCTAGGCATCGGGGAAAAGAGTGAGAAAAGTCATGTAAGAACTTTATCTCTAAAAGACTCTTTGAGATAAACGACCTACGGGTTAAGTATTTTACACGAATATATACAGTATGTATCATCGGGTGGATGAGTTGCAACTATATATATGTATCACCCTATTTTTGGGTCTCGTGTCTGAAACATTAGTTATTCTTCATATAGCCTGTTTGTCACTAGTACTTCTATGGAGTACTGACCCCTTCGGGGCCCTCACATTTTTCAGGTTAAGGCTAGAGTCCTACTACCTGCACCTTTGCCTGGGGTGATTGATCCAGAAGGAAGACGTGGTTCGTGCTTCCATTCTTATTTCAAATTTATAAACTGCTCATGGATTTTCGAACAATGTTTTCTTTAAAACAGTTGGGGCCCGCGTGCCCGTGTTTGCCACGTGTGGCTAAGTATCAAACATATTATTATTTCTGCATTTGTTTGATTATGATATTGATGTTGATTGTATGTGTTTACTAATCGTTTTGGCAATAGAATCAATTGGACGCCTTGTACAATTCAATAGGGATGAACTGTGGTTGTTCTTATCGGGTTGTACGGCGGTTGTCTACGTGGCCCGGATGCGGTCTGGGGCATGACACATATACTCCATCATCTAATCTACCTCAGTCTACCCCATATACTTTCAAGCTTTTTGACATCACTACACCACACTTTCTGCTTCGCCGTTATCCTCCTATTCTCACATAGTCTGTTTCTTTTCATTGTATTTTTCTTCTTTCTTCGGAGGGATTGCAACATCAAACCCTCTTCCTCTGACCTCGGGTATGTAGGGAAATATGGTTTGTTTTGTAGAAAATAAGAAAATAAAATAGCCGAATGAACAAAAAATAGAACGAGCAGAGAAACGATCAAAGTTTCTGCAACACACAATGTCCTTAAGAACAATTTGTTGCCTTCAACGATGTTAGGAGCGTTGTGATGTTACTTTCACGGGGTTGTTGGCAAACAAAAAACTCTATTGAACACTCAATAGGTTGTAACGGCAAATTGGAACAAAGAGTAGACCAAAGTCGATGGTTAGGGTTACAAGATTTGGCAGTGATGGAAGCTAAGGGTGATAGGCTGGGGGGCTTGGGTTATGGGCGGCACAGGTAGGCTGGTGATTGAGGGCTGGTTTTACTGGTCGAGGGATGGGGGTATGCTTGTGGGGTAAGGGTGGGGCTAGTAGCTAGGGTAGGCCTATTGGGCAAGGGGAGTAGAAGGGTTGGTTGAAGCCATGGTGTAAACTTAAGGCAGTGTAAACTTACAGCGGCGGTCACAGGTCACCACCTCTGTGCATCATTGCAGCAGTACGTCGTTTGGGTCTGGGTTCAACGAGACTAAAATTATTAGACACTAGAATGACAGAATAAATGTCATATTAGTCACTTTGTTTAGAAAATCTTGAATATAATAATATAATTATGTTTGAGGTTTTTCCTTAAGTATTAGGTCTTCCGTTTCAGTGAGATTGTCCTATTTTCCTTTTCGGGAGATCTAATTAAGATTGTTTATACAAAATTTAATAAAATTTGTATGATTCTAAATTATTTTTACTTTATTTTCACTTTATCAATTCAATATCAACAACATAAATTCACATTTTTCTGAATAATTGTGTTACTATCTAGTATCTACTACGTATTATATTTAGTGGGACGGAAGTGGTATTTTTTCTAAAACCCCAACTAGAAAAGGCATGATTCCATATGGAGCTCCGGATCGAGCCCATATAACTTGAATATCCAGCCCACCCGAATCCTTAACCCTAGGGCCAAAATAGAATTGCTGATTATACCGAGTATGATACACACATATAATGAGCACCGACTGCAATAGGAAATCTAGCAGCCAGCCTCATTCTTCTTGAGAAGGTAGCGCCGAAGTTTGCATATTTCGTGCAACCGGCAATGGTAGAAGTCTATTCTAATGCCTTTCTCAATCTATATGTCTATTGGCACGACTGTGGTTGATTGTTTCTTGAATCTATATGTTCACGAAATAATCTATGGATTTTGATAACAGGCTGACGTAGAACACGATGTAGCGGCAGGGCAGCCAAAGAAGAGAACATTCAAGAAGTTCAGCTTCAGAGGTGTAGATCTTGATGCCCTCCTTGATATGTCTACTGATGATCTCGTCAAGCTCTTCAGTGCCCGTGCCCGCAGAAAGTATGCGGTGGATCTTGTTCTGGAACTACTTTGATGCTTATCTTATATAATGTTGATTTAGAATTGATTTCGTTTGTGTGGAATAATAGGCTTGGGAGAGGTTTGAAAAGAAAGCCTTTGGCTTTGATTAAGAAGCTTCGCAAAGCGGTAAACTCATATTTTTCCTTCCTTTTATATCACTGAATTTTGATAAATATTACCTCCGTCCTCTGACCACATACGAATATAAAAGATAGTAACACAATTATTCAGAAACATGTGAGTTTATTGTTTTATAGGTTTTCAGTAAGGACTTCAGAGCTGTTATTACAAAATTATCATTGATGAAGAATTATTATTGTTTTATAGCTCAAGTCATTTCCTTAAGTAAGTTGGAGTAGTACATAAGCTCAGAGGTTACTTGTATGTTTTTAAGGCTCAGAGTCTGTAAATGATTTTGGAGAGGTAGAAAGTAGAGAAACGCCTAAGGCCGAGCCCTTTCCTCGTGAAAAAAGGGGTGGGGTGGTATTCCACAGAGACAGGGTATTAATTTGTGGCGCATCTTTGATGTGATAGGCGGATATTAATTTGTGGGCATTTCCCTCAACACTCTGCAGCTTCTTCAAGTTCACTGCATAAGTGAGAGGACGGCCCTATATTTGTTTTTTTGCTCATGGCAAATTGAAGTCCAAATATAGTTCAACTACTAGAAAATATGACATGGAAATATTTTAGTCGTGAAAATAATCATATGCAAGGAAAATGTATTGAACGTTATTACTACTTTATTCTTTATGCCTGCTCAAACTTATTTTGCTCTGTGTATTTAAAAGGTTATCTATATATAAAGCTTAGTATTATTTTGTTGTTGTCCTTGGTATTTTCTGTCCTCTAATAGTGTGAAAAAGAACCGCACGTATCATTTTTTCTTTTTCTTTTCGTTTACCAAACATTTTTCGTCTCTGAAAATGTATAAACAATTAATGCAGAAACTAGAGGCCCCACAAGGGGAGAAGCCGGATCCAGTGAAAACTCATTTGAGGAATATGATTATTGTTCCAGAGATGATAGGCAGTGTTATTGGAGTTTATAACGGGAAAACCTTTAACCAGATTGAAGTGAAGCCAGAGATGATAGGGCATTACTTGGCTGAGTTCTCCATCTCATACAAGCCTGTCAAGCACGGTAGGCCCGGTATTGGTGCTACTCACTCATCAAGGTTCATCCCACTTAAGTGATGCAACTCATCTGCTTTTTTTGTTTTAATTATACGTATTTTTTATTTCTCTCAACACATGTAAGAAGAGTGAAACTAGTTTTTACTTTGAGGTTACAGACAGTTGATTGCTGAATGATTGTACTTGGTATGATTTTTATTACGTAGCTCTTGTTAGTTTTATGTTTTTGGTGTTGGCTACTTGATCTCATCTTTAAGTTTATGAAGACGTGCCTTGGATTTTCGAAGGCTCTATGAACTGAACTGCATAGTGAATTACTTTGGTTGACATGAGATCTCATCGTGGGAGTGGGATTGAATGGACAGATTACAACAACACGATCAAATAAACCATTGTGATGAAGTTTATAGAATAGAAAATTAGATCTATTTACCAAAATGCCATGACATTTTTATTCTTAAAGTGTCACACTAGAAAAAAATGACTGTTTTCACTTTAAATGATTGATTTTTATTTGACCCGACACAAGACACATAAAAAGATGAAAGGATAAAAAACAAAAACACAAGAAAGAAAAAAAGATGAAGAGTTAGGCCTGGGATCGGTTTGGTTCTTGTTAAGATTTGATGGAACCGTATAAAAATCGTAAATCTTAAATTCGGTTCGGTTCTAGTTAAAAATGTAGTTGTTAAATTCGGTTCGGTTCTAGTTAAATTTCGTTCGGTTCCTACCTTTTTTCGGTTCCTTATACAATTTTATTATCCTTCTAAAATCAACATATTTTATCTTCAGTTACATAAAAAATTCAAATTTTAAATCATGAAATTATGACCATTACATTATACATACATGATATCTCAATGTTCATATATCAAAACAAGCTCACAAAATTTCGTTTTAAGCTCAAATTTGGTGGACATAATCTTTATTTCATGAAAAACAAGCTCACAAAATTTCATCAAAAAATTCCAGCCAGAAGCACCTCAAATGAAGATTACTCCTGCAATGTATAAGAAATTCGGTTTTGGACTACGAATCAGAACCGAACTGGAATCGAACCGGAACTGAACCGGAACCGAACCGATGAAATACTATAGGAACCGAACCGAAAAAAACAAAAGTCCAAAAGTTTAGGAACCAAACTGAACCAGAAATTTCGGTTCGGTTCCGATCGGGTTTCCCGGTTTTACGGTTTCAAGTCCTAGCCCTATGAAGAGTCAAAGATGATAGGAGATCACTCTGCCACACCTTTCTTTCATTCAAAGTTCAAATTCATTTGAACTTTGAATGAAACATAAATAATTCAAAGTTCTTTCATTTGAAATTTGAATGAAAGAAAGTGCCCGAGTCATGAAACATAAATAACTCACTAATAACACTTTTTAGAAGATGACGTGGTACAATTAAGTCAAATGAACCCTCTTTGCTCTCCCTAAAATTATGCCGTCATCTAATCCATGTCTGTTTTGGTCTTTCTCTCCCTCTATTTTCCATATCTTCTCCACACATCTCAACTCGTCTGATAGGTGCATCACTCGATCTTTTAAACACATAATCAAACCATCACAATCGAAACTCACGCATCATATCTTCAATAGGTGTCACTCTCATTTTCTATTTGATTCTTATTTCTCAAGTGGTTCTTTCTAGTATATCCACATATCCAACGCGTCACACGTATCTAAGCCACACTCATATTTTGAATGTGGCATGGTTTCATTACACTCTACGTCATATAATAATATTGTTGGGTTAATGGCCCGAACTGGGCCGGCCCATCAACCTTTAGAGATCTCCTACGAACGTCCCCTAGGGACCCACAATGATCTCCTACGGACGTCCTACTAGAAGCCCAGGAAGAAGGCCAAGCCTAGGGCCCAAAAGGCCCAAGGGACGTACGTACCCGACTAACAGCAGGAACCAAGGTATCCAGGCCCGAGATTTCCACAAGATATATAGGGACGGACGTCCCCACCTCATGACGGGAACTGAGGATGGCCCAAGAATGGGTCAAAGATAGCCCAAGTACGTGGGGACGAGCGTCCCCTCTCCAGATTCCAGCAAGGGACAGGAGCCACACCTTTGGGGACGAACGTCCCAACCCCATGGCGGGAAACCAAGATTCTGGCGGGAAGCACATTTAATGCAGAAGATTTGGTGGTTGGGATCATGTCGCCCACAGCCTGCCACGTCGACGCCCCCAATCATCCATTGGCAGTATAAATAATAGCATTTATTTCCTTATAAATAAAGGGTTCACAATTTAGCATTCTAGCACTCTAGCAGCAATAATCAGTTCATAGCAAGTATTGTACGTTCAGCTCTTCGGCTTGTAATAGTTTCAGTGAGTAAAGATAGTTTATCAAGCCCATTCCCTGCTTGTTTTGCCATCTACTTGTCCATTCTTCCATTCGAAACCCTTGGGTTACGTATTGGGCCTACGGGTTGAAGGAATAAACTTCAACACTGGCGCCGTCTGTGGGAAACTGATAAAAAAGTCTTTCAAACTAAGCTCTCAGCCAAAACATCATCCAAAAACTACCTTAAAACAAGCGAGATGGCAGCTAGCAAACCCATGAAACTCCCAAGACCTCTCTTCACGGTTGGCTCATAGCAGGAGGAGCCGCAACCAGGCGACGGGGGCCCAATCCAGCAGCCTATGGACCCGTGGGGATTTCGGGGTCCTCACTGACCTGATTTCCCAGGAAGTCCGGCGGGACCCGAATGCCCTGAGAGAGATAGCAGACACCATTCGCCGTCTGGCGGATCAGCGAGAGGCGGAGCGTGTGTACACCGCAAACACAGAGCGGACACTGCTCTCCCCTATCCGTCCCATGCGATCGCTCGGTGAGCATACTGGTGAGAACAACTATTCTCGTCGTTCGGTCTATACCAGGATCGTCAGGAATGTCCACTCTCCGGATATGGGGGCACCGGAGGAGCCGGGCCCTTCAGGGAAACACATCGCCACACAGCTCAAGACCGCACGCTAGTGATGCCCCATGACGAGCGGGCTGTCAGGGGGCATACTCCTGTGATGGGAGGCATGAGGCAGGAGGCCCGTGTCGTCCATGGGCAGCACAACTTCGGGGTTATGCCAGGGGGAAATACCTTGGCGCTGGCGAACCCCGCGCCCACTATTCCCGATCCGCGGGATGCCATGCTCATGGAGATGCAGAGGCAGATTAATGAACTGAACCGACGGACGGAGGCTAGTCCAGCGCAACCTAGAGGTTCCCTATCTTCTCCTTTCTCAGCAAGGATAATGACGGTGGAAATCCCAAGGGACGTCCGTCCCCCTGGGGCTCTGATTTACAACGGGACCGGGGACCCCAAGGCTCACTTGCTTTCCTTCCAGGGAACGCTTTCAATGCTGGGGGCTTCGGACGAGGCCATCTGTAGAGTATTTTTCAGTACACTCAGAGGACCGACACAGGAGTGGTTTGGGAAGATCAGGCCCACGTCCATTGACAATTTCGAGCAACTTTCCAGACTGTTCATGGCACAGTTCGCCTCCACCACCACGCCAAAGAAACACTTCAGCTCACTGTCGAACGTCCGCCAAAACAAGGGAGAATCCCTGACAGCTTTCCTCATCAGGTGGAGGGACGAGACTCTGAAGGTAGAGGACCTCCCGGGGGACACCGGCATTACTGTAACACCCCGGCCCCGTAGGCCTCGAGGTAGTTACTTCTGACCTCTAGTACTATCCTCACAAACCGCCACTAGCCTTTTCCGCGCACTTTGTCCTCACCCGTGCGCGCCCTGAGAACCTTCCCAGGGGGTCACCCATCCCAAGACTACTCCCGTGCAAGCACGCTTAACTTTAGAGTTCTTGGCTAATGAGCTCCCTTAAAAGGAGATGCACCTTGTTGGTATGAGTAGTACTATTAATCCGTTTAAATTAAATCTCAAGTGTTACAATCACCCCCACTTAGGAACGCAACGTCCTCGTTGCGCCCATCAACCAATCTCAAATCTCCATCAAATCCCAGAATCCTCCCCCGCTAAATGCCCGCCCGATATCCAACGGGTCAGCACACTGTCGCAGGGTTGCTCTGATACCATTTGTAACACCCCGGCCCCGTAGGCCTCGAGGTAGTTACTTCTGACCTCTAGTACTATCCTCACAAACCGCCACTAGCCTTTTCCGCGCACTTTGTCCTCACCCGTGCGCGCCCTGAGAACCTTCCCAGGGGGTCACCCATCCCAAGACTACTCCCGTGCAAGCACGCTTAACTTTAGAGTTCTTGGCTAATGAGCTCCCTTAAAAGGAGATGCACCTTGTTGGTATGAGTAGTACTATTAATCCGTTTAAATTAAATCTCAAGTGTTACAATTACCCTCTTCACCAACGCCCTTACCACCGGAGACTTGTATCGGGATTTGAAAAGGAACCCCGGGGATAACTACGTAGAAGTGCTTGCTTGGGCACATAAGTTTGCTGCAATCGAGGAGGAGATTGCCCAGCGGGACGGGGTGGTAGCCCCCACAACACGCAAGATATCGGACCGATTGGGTCCCAGGCCGGCGGATTCTCCAGCACCCAAGAAGAAGAAGACGATCAGCGGTTACGTCCCTGGGGCCGCACAGGAACGCCCTAGGGACGATCATCGTGTGGATGACAGCCATGCTCCCTTGGCCTTCCCCATCAGTCAGATTTTTGGGGCCATCAAGGACAAGGGGCTACTCAAGGAACCGGTACCCACCAAGGGGCAGACAATGGGCCAAGATAGGGAAGCTTACTGCGAATATCATCGCAAGCCAGGACACCATACTGACGATTGCCAAAGTCTGAAGTACGCCATTCAACAGCTCATTGAGAGGGGGTATCTCGGGGAGTTCACCGCAAGGGCAGCGCCCCAGGGTCATTCACAGCAACATAAGAGGCCCTACAGTTGGCACCGGGACGATCGGCGAGAAGCTGGGGTCCATGAGGAGGATTTCCGTCACGGTGACAAGCGACTGGAAGCATCACTTGGGCCGGTCGGTACCAAGAAGAAGTTGGAAATTAAGATGATCTTTGGAGGTGCGGAGACTGATGATACCCCGGTGGAGAGGAAAAAGTTCGAGAGGGCCCTCCGAATCAACTCCATCTCCGCACCTCCCGCCAAAAAGCATAAGGCCGAGCCCATTGTGTTCGGGCCGGAGGATCTACCACAATCACCAGGGCCCCACAAGGATGAGCTAGTAGTCAGCATGGATATCCGGGAATGGATCATCCAACGAGTCCTGGTCGATACTGGCAGCAGTGTCAACGTCCTGTACTAGGACGTTTTCGAAAAAATGCATCTGAGCAGGGCCGATCTGAGCCCCCTGTGCACACC